TATAAACAAAAGATCTAAATCTGATCTTGTAATACAGATTTGTAGATTAATTTTGATATATTCGAAATATTTCGAAACTATATTCCAATGCATTCTTGGTATGACCCAGGTTACATATCTACTGATCCAGCCAGTCTGCTCAAAAAATATTTCGAAATATTTCGAAATCTAAAATATTTTGAAATATATTGCGAAATGTTTCGAAATATATTGCATATGTGAAATCTTTTGAAAGATTTTGCAAGTTCGCAAAATCTTTCGAAAAGTTGTGCTACTATAAATTTGCTAATATATTACAAATATTTTAAACTACTTTCGCACTTTTTGCAAATTGCCAAAAAAATTTAGTATGTTTTTGTATAGTGCTAAAGAAGTTAAAGCTAGTATTCTTGTAAAGTACCTGAAAAGTTGCAAGGTATTGAAAAAGTCAGAAATCAATAAAATAAATTAAAAATTAAAAAAATAAGAAAAAAAAACAATGAAAAAACNTGCTAATATATTACAAATATTTTAAACTACTTTCGCACTTTATCACATCTAATTCTATTACTATATACAAAAAACTAGTCCTATATACTTATTTTTACTCACTCCATAGTTAGCTATTATTTTTGCTTTTTTGTTTTCTACCATTTTTGTTTTGGCTATTTTTTTTGTTTTCACTATAACTTTTGTTTTGCTTTCTTTTTCTAAATACTTCAAAAAATAAAACAAAATAAAAACAATATTTCTTAGAAGTGTTGGTGTTTTTGCAAATTGCCAAAAAAATTTAGTATGTTTTTGTATAGTGCTAAAGAAGTTAAAGCTAGTATTCTTGTAAAGTACCTGAAAAGTTGCAAGGTATTGAAAAAGTCAGAAATCAATAAAATAAATTAAAAATTAAAAAAATAAGAAAAAAAAACAATGAAAAAACAAAAAATATAAGCAAACTAATAAAAAAAAATAAATGAAGCCCCAAATCTTTTTTTTTAAAATAAGAGTTCATGTTCTTGCAAATTCAAAAATTGTGAAAGCTAAATTAATGTTCTTGCAAAATGCCAAAAAAGGCATAAAGTGCTAAAAAAGTATAAGTTGGTTTTTTTGCAAAGTGCCAGAAAGTAAGATTTTTTTTTTGCAAAGTGCTGAAATAAAATAATTAATAAAACAAATTTAAAAAAAAAAACAAAAAACAAATTATATTAATAAATAAAAAAATAAATAAAGTCCTAAATAAACTTTTATTTCTTTAAAGAAGTATTCTTGTAAATTTATAAGTTGCTAAAGAAATCAGTTGTGTTCTTGCAAAGTGTCAGAAGTTTGGATTGGCTTGTACAAGATTTTGAAAAGTTGTTTGTTTTCTTGCAAGTGTTCTTGTAAATTGCCAAAATAAAATTAAAATTAAAAAATAAATAAATAAAAAAAAAATTAAAAAAAACCAAAATAGAAACAAAAGGCAAAACCTTAGCACAACTCTTTTCAACAATCATCTGGACCAACTTTTTCAAGACAACTAAACTGTAAAAAACCTATATAACATGCAACCTCTTATTACAAACCTTTTTTAGAGTATCCAGGAACAAGAGTTCTACTCAAGGCAACTGTAAAAGAGCTAAAAAAAAGTCTTGGGATAGGTCTTCTTGGAGTAAAACACAAAAACTATTAAGTAGTAGGAATAACTGGAAATCTTTGTTATTAAGTTCAAATGGTTTTGGATTTTATAAAAGCTGTATTTTTTTTATAGGTTACAAAACTTACATAGTTTTAAATCCACAAACCAAATTGGACCGCTTGGTGCTTCCCTCATCTCTTTGACTTTTTCGAAATTTTGATAAATTGGAGCATTTTGGCTTACTTTCTCCAAAAGATTGACAATGTTTACTTCTTCCAATTTGAAAATATGCCTATCATATTGAAGTCAAGTTATGAGTAGATTTTGGATTTTCAAAATAAACAATAAATGATACATATTTGTTTTTGAAAAAAACTTCACAACAAAATTTTTTTAAAATATGGGAGTAAGTCAGTAGAAAAGGAACAAATCATTTTTAGTAAAATTTTTTTAATTTTTAAATTAAAATATTTTAGCAACTATTTAATCAAATTTGTTAAAAATTTTTTTATTTTAAACTTAAAATTATATAGAATTAAAAAAAATTTATTAAATTTATTAAAATAGTTGTTAAGATATTCAATCTCAAAATCCAGAAAACTTTTACTTAGAAAGCATTTGTCACTTTTCTACTGACTCACTCCCATATTCTTTTAGCCATAATTCTTTTTTATAAAACTATCTTTATAGTTTTCTAGGTTAGAGACCATTTTTTTCTAGCAATAGTTTTTTATTTACATATAATAATTTGAGTTTAGTTAGAGTAGAAACAGGACCCCAGACATTTCTCATATAGGTCATAACTGGATTTTGGCCAATTTTGTCCCAATTTGCTAAAAACGACAAAATATATTTGTTTAAATAACTTTTGATCTAGTGATCAGAATTGAATAAACCTTTTTTTATTAAATGCACCTCACTAAAAGCTTCATTTTAAAAAAAAAAAGTTTGTTCAAATTGGTCAGATGCCAAGATAATTGGCAAAAACTATTTTTTGCTTCTCAAATTTCAGGGGTTTTGCTGAAAAAAACAAGTATGACCTTTATACAAATGTTCGGGGTCCTGTAGAGACTACCTTTCTTAGTATCATGTAATTTTTATAATAGTTCATCTTGGTGCCAAGCCTTAATTAATCTAAGGCCTTACTTTTTTTCTTTTTCTATTATTTATTATTTTGTTTTCTTTGTTTTTTTTTTTCTTTTTAACCTTTTTATACTTTTGCCCTTTAGTAGTTTAGTTTTTTTCTTCCACTTCCAAGGATATTTTCTTTAGGGAATACATTTGTAAAGTGGAGCACAGCTGATATCTAGTTGAAGTCTCTAGAGATTTCATGCAGCGATTAGCATTTGGTTTAGTCATCTAAATCAGATGGTGTTAATACTGTATTATTCTTTGTCCTTTGGGAATTTGTACCAGTGATTATTTTTCACTGTGCGCACTGTGCGCAGCGCACAGAAACAAAATTTTGCGCACATCTTTTTCTAGTAGATGTGCGGATGCCGCACAGAAATAATTGTCATTTTATAAGTAGTGCGCACAGTTGCAAGCATTTTCTCAGCATTTGCCGCACAGAAAAGTTTATGAATTGTGCGGTATCCGCACAGTAAATTTTAATTGAAAAATTAACACTGATTTGTACTATTTTTTTTAGTATAATAAAATCAAAAAGGTTATATAAGTTATAGTGAGTCTTGCCTAAGAGAAAAAAAAATTGAAAACAAAAAAACAAAATAAAAACAAAAAACAAAATAAAAACAAAAAGTGAAAAAAACAAAATAGAAGATCTAATTATAAACAAAAGATCTAATCTGATTTTGTAATACAAATTTGAACATTATTGAACTATTTTGAAAAATTAGTCTAATTTGCAATCCAAATTACAGATCTACTGATCCAGCCTGGTTTCCTAGTCCTAAAATATTTTGAAAAGAGTTTGAAATATTTTGAAATCATTTTTAAAATATTTCATAATATATTTTTAAATATTTAGAAAATTTGATATTTCAAAATATTTCAAAAAATATTATGATATTTTGCTTATATTATGGTTCATAAGACCTTATGTAAGATTATGCTATTATAAATTTGCTAATACCATCTTGTTGTATTAATAAAAAATATCAAAAGGACAATTTTACTATAAAATATGTCCTAATTCTAAATCCAAACTAACACTTATTCTAACTTTAATTAAAAAATCAAAACCACATAACTGGACACAGCTTTAGATGTTTACCAAAAAAGGTAGCTTATTTTTAGCAATACAGTATATAGTAATAATTATATATTCTATAAAAATTTTATAATTTTTTAAATAATTTTTATTAATATAATTTTATATTTTACGTTTGATTTGTAAGATAGCCAAGTAGCCAAGATAAAATTTCTGGGTCATACGTAACTTAGTGCGATAGGTCGCATCTAGGTACAAATTAAGGTAGCCGGATGATGCCAGGCTTGCAATTGCAAAGTAGTAATTACTAGAATTAGCTTAATTAGTTGATTTAATTTTTATTTAAGCACCGACAAGACTGTCAAAGAAATAAAAAAAAAATTTATATTTTATTACAATATTTGAAAATTTTAAAATTTTAAATTTTTATTTATAAAATATAAAATATAAAATTGTATTAATAAAAATTACTTGAAAAATTATAAAAATTTTTAAAATATAAATAAATTGTTATGCATAACAACTTTAATTAGTGCACAGTAATCAATTTACTTATAAAATATTAAAAGTTTTATATATAGCAACAATTGCAATTAACTAAAAATAATTAAAATAATTAAATTATATAGTTTATTATTTATAATTACCTTGTTATAAATACCTAATTTCTGTATCCCAAATAGGTGACTATATCGAGATGTAACTGTATACTGTAATTAAAAATATACTTTAATTTTATTATAAAATTTATTAAATTTTATTATAAATTTTTAAAATAATAGATTTAATTTAAAATTTTATTATAAAATTTTTTTTAATTTTATATAGTAAATAATAACAAAACATATTTGCTTTTTATTATTAATTAATAAAAACTTCAAATTACTATCTGCTATAATACAGTATTTAATTCTAATTTACATTAATTAAAAAAAATTTTAAATTTGGTTAAATTTTATTTTATAATTATATAGGAAATGCAATATATATATAGTATATATATTTAAATAAAAATAGCTTTTTACAGTAATTTATTATTAAAAAAATAAAAATATATTGTAGTATATATATAGCAATATATTGTATATAGTATATATTAACCAAAATTATAAAAATTTTAAATAATATATATTATACAATATATATACTATAAAAATAAATACCTATCACCATAAAAAGAAATCAAATTAGTAATAATAAATAAACAAAAAATTTTTTTGAACATTTTTTATTATAGTTGCCCCTTTGGCCCAGTGGTTAAGGTTTCGCTCTCGTAAAGCGAAGATCGGTGGTTCGAATCCGCCAAGGGGCTATTTTCGAATTTTGTTTTTTTACACAACAATAGTTGCATTGATATGAAAGAAACAAGTGCAATTAAACTTGAAATAAAGCCTTGCATTATGATATAGAATGGGCTCGATCTGTTACGGTCGGACCTTTATAATAGTATTTGATCCGGTGAAAGCTAATTAAATCATGACTTTTTCATATTTGCATTTGCACTTAACTTCTTGTAGAACAAAAAATGTGTAGAAACGAAAAGCCCTTATGTAGAGGTTTGATCGTACTTTCCAGAATTTTATATTATCATAGTTGAGTAAGCAAGAGAATTTTTTTATGATCAGATTAGATTAGAAATGGACTAAAGTGTTGAAACATTTTTTAGTTTGGATCGACAGAGTTGCACAATACGATAGTAGTATATAAGGTCCAAAATTTCAGTATTTACAAAACTCATAAAAGCAGTTCTTTAAAATGTCTAGTCCGTCCGCTTTTTCTCGTACTTATTGTAACTTGACAGCACAAACTTCACCCATTGACATGTACTCTCACATTAGACAAACAAGGTCCGGGACCACTTCTACGGTTGACATTGTAATCATAGATAGTGACACTGAGGATGACGTTGTCTCTTCACACGGTTCTGACCATAACAATTCCTATTCTCGAAGTAATATGAACCAGCATACATTTGGCAACCAAAGTTTATACAATTCTCCTGGAGTGATTCCGCCAAGTACTGTACAAAACCCTTCGATTGGTAATGGAGGTGGTCCAATTCGAACTAGAGCCAATCCTGTTCGTTCGAATAATAACCGCACTAGCCCCATTCGCTCTAATCGATTACAAAGTTCTGGGTCGTCTCCGTGGCGAGGTTTGTTTTATACTGTACATGTCTTAGAATTAGAGTCCTCAAAAAATTGAGTAAACGAACGATATAATATTCAATACGTTAGATTAAATAGTCCAAATTTTAATAGGTTTAGCAATAGTAAATGTCACTACTATTCAGTCTGTTCAGGGAACAAATTCAAACCTTCAATTCTCATATCGTCATCACCGACAGCATGCATCAGCATTCCATCCTGTACTTTATGCAGACGAAATAACCATCGCTCCTTCTCAACATGATCGTCTACATTCCCATGATAATGCTACAGGCACTTCTCGAACGTATCCTCCCATTTTTCAAACAGAAAACGCAATCCCTACTACGATCAATACCAACGATCTCCAAATTCTGAATACTCCACCCACGTCCACCTCACGACGAGATAATAATATTTCAAAGCCATCATTAGCGGGTCATACGAGGAATATTGAGGACTCATATACCTTAATTTGCGTAGATTGTAATGGCATTCTTCGTGAAAAATTATGGGCGTTAAACTGTGGGCATGTTATTTGTGGAAGTTGCGTAGACAAATTTTTAGAAAAGAAGAAAGAGAAAACCGCATGTCCAAGTTGTCGGCACAAATCAAAGTCCAATTCCATAATACAATTATATGTATAAAGCATTTATTGGTTGAAGCATTTCATTTCTGTAGTGTATACATACTATGTATTTTATACACTTTCCCTTTTTTTTTGTTTTTTGTTTTTTTTTTTTTTAAACTAAGCAAGCACACTTCCACTTCTATTAATGCATATATAATGAACTTTTATGAGGGATGGTGTTAAAATTATCTCATTAGAATGTTTTGTTAGTTAAGTAAGATTTAAAGGCTTTGAAGAATGAAGGATTGAAAGAACCAGACTCTGCAAACATTAAATACAAACAACTTTATGAGTAGGCAGTGTTTTTTTTGATCATAGGCGTCTCGTCATTTATATATGATTGATCAATTACATGCGTTTATTTAATCGATGGCCTGATCTTTGTGATCTCTATTTACAACCCATGTAAAAATATAATTAAATTGCCTTTTAAATTTTGTCATGTGAATTGTATGTAATTTGATTTTAACATTTAAAGTATTCAATTAGAGACATCGATCGGTATATATAGAATTATTATTAAAATTTGTATAAATAAGATGTTTAAAGAAAAATCGAAATTTATATTAATCAAATTTCTACTTGTTTAAAAATTATAATTTCTTATATCGATATGAAAATAAATTTATACATTATCAGTTATTACTAATCATATGTTTGATCAATTAAATCTTTAAATCACGAATGTTAACGAATGTTTAAAGGTTTCTTGTCCAAAATTTTAATTGTAAAAATATACATTAAAGCAATATTTAAACTTTTATTAGAAAAACTAAAAAAAGCGGTTTTTTTAAAAAATTTTAACAGGTTTAATTTTTGGTGTTTATAGCTCAGATTTGCTAAGTATATTTACTATCACTAAAATTCCAAATAGGTTAACCCGATTTGGGATTTTTACTTTGAAAAAATCCTAAATATCCAAATATTCTATATTATCTCACCCAAAGTTATTAGTATTTCTTCTTATTATCCATATCCCAAATTCCAAAATCATCCCGAGTCATAGTTGATAATTATTAAATTATAACACTGGTATGAATTTTCGAAATAGCGGGCGTGGGCATTATTTCGCCCCTTTCGAGAATTTATAGTATATAGTAAAATTGGTGCGTTTTCAAGAATCTCATTCAATGGAATTAGAGACAAAGTTTTAACTAATTTGAAATTAAATACAGTAAACTAACCAAATGAGTTATTATTTTGATAAATAAAATCTAAAAATGCATACTATTTTTTTTTTATAAAGTTGTTTTGTGGCTAAAAATTTTAAAATCTTTATTTTATACAGTAATTCTTATAATTGTATGATTGCTTAATTACAATAATTTGCGCAATATCTTTAATCATATTGAAAAAGCTATTCTTAATTATAAAAATTATGTTTAATAAGTATGCTATAATACAATATATATTTTAATACTATTAGAAATATTTAAATTTTAATATAAACCAATTGTATATTTAAATATAGTATTTAAAGATTTACAAAATAATTAAATTTTATAATTTAAAATTTGTATCTAATTTGAAATTTATATTTAATTAAATTTTATATCTAATTACTTTTTTTTTTTTTTTTAACTTTACAACCATGCTCTACTTTATTAGCAGTTTACATAAAAAATACATAAACTAAAAACTAACTATAATATAGGCTAATACCCGGCTTACTCCACTAGTGCCCAGGTACGGTTGTTGCACTGATGTTTGATAGTCTCGCAGCGACATACGATTTTTCTCATATATTTCTACAAGAGCATGTTCAGGTCCTCAGCTACCTTCAAAACGAAATTCTACATATATAAAAAAAAAACTACTTTCGCATCCACCAACTTACTATATGCAAACCTCTTATTTGACTTAACATTGAGTTCTCGACTAACTCATTCACTGAGTTCTCCACCTCCTGTTTCTTCTGTTTTTTCCGCTCTTTATCTTTTTTTTCAGCTTCCATGAGCTCCGGAACGCATGGCTCCTTGTTTCGAACTTCAAAAACCTTACGTTTTCTTTTCAAAGATCTCTCTATACCGGCACCTTTTTCCCACTTGATGACTTCATTGCATCTCTCCTTCCAAATAACACGATAGAAACCCTCCTGTACTACATACAAAAATGCATCTATACAAGTTTTTGTATCCTTTCTAGACAGTCCCTTCTTGTAAAATAACTCGATTTTCTCTCTTTCTACAAGACCACTTAAATAAACTTCTCTTTCCTTGAAGCGAACTTCTTTACTATCACTTAACAGAATTTCACTTAATTCCCAAACACTTAACAGGAAACTTGCTTCGTCCGAGAGTACTGCCCATGCAGCACTCAGTGCTGTGTTTTCTGTCTCCTGCCAAAAATTCTCTGCAAAACTACAACGAATTAAATGTTTCATGGTTTCCTTAGTCTCCTCCTTGCACAAAATGCAGTTTGGTGACTTATACAACCAAGGTTTACGGGCATGCAACTCATTCAGTGTTGGGAGAAGTTGGAACATTCCTTTGATTCGTAGTATTAATTTGAAACTGCTTTCCATTCCTCTACATCTGACTCCTCCCAATTCCTTTAGCCTTGCCCATCTGTAGGCCCAGTCTAGCTTATCACTATTATGATTATATTCTGCTGCTAGACTTTTACTCGAAAGAAGGCATCTTCCCTCGACGGCTCTTCTCTTTAACCGCAAAATAAACTTACGCGGACAGGTGTCGATATGTTTTCCATTCCACCACAGAGATGCATTCCAACGTGTGGGATTGGTAGGTATCCACTTCCAGTCTTCTTCTAAATGCGCCGCTTCTTTTGCTAACCTGTCTGCAAGTTCGTTCCATACTATACCACTGTGAGCCTTGACTTTACAAAGCTCTAAGGAAAGATTTTTGACTTGGACTACCTCATAAATCTTGTCAAGAATTGACCTGTTTTTCAATTTAAGGCTCTTCTTGAAACTTCGTGACCTGAACACATTCTCAATACTACTAATCGCTGCTAAACTATCTGTCTTAACTACAACTACAGAATCTAATTTTACTACTAACAGCGCACAAAGAATTGCAACCAATTCAGATCTCGTCGATGAAGGCCAATCGGCCACCCTGATTTTCCCTAACAAATTTACCGTCTCCTCCTCTTTATCTACTTGTACCCAAGCAGAACCCATTCTATCTTCAAAACCTTCCTTCTCCTTATACCAAGAACCATCAGTATAAAAGACATAATCTGATCTTTCCTCCTGTATATTTTTTCCAACCATACCTAATATTAAATTCGCAATTTTACTACTTAACCCTTGTTTTTTAATTATTTCAAATTCTATTCTGTTAACTTCTACCGCCATAGCTAATCTTTCTGTACTATTTTGATCTTTAGGTGCATTTTTATAAGCTGTATGCCTATAATAGCTCAAAGGGAATGACATTAACCAGTCGTTCTCCTTTTTGACTATGCCATCTATTCTGCTAATGGACTCTTTCATTTCTATTGAGAATTGGCAATCATTCTCTTTTCCACCTTTATTTAAAGCACAGCCTTTACACCTATTTATTCTAA